GTACAATCCAAGTCCTGACGTAAGGGTAAAGCGTAGGTTAGAAACTGGAGATATTCGCTCCGTTGAGTAAGCATAAGGCATCAAAAACCATCGGCTCTACATGAACACCGTTTATCTGAGTCAGCTGAAAAGCGCTTCTTCCATGCCGTCACCAAAGCGGAGATGGTGCGATTGCCACCCGTCCACCTTCACTAGCACTTCATTCTCATTCTAATTAACGCATGACATTTTGAGCGGTTCTGGAGAGTACAATTTCAATTTACAAGGAGATCATCATCAACGTGCAGATACCCTTCTCTACACGTCGATGATGATCATGAAAATTGGTGAGATCCTTGGTCCATGAAATTCCTGCAGAGCTCAGGAAAAGTTTTCGTATTGAGCAGGGACACCTTTGGATGTCTACGGGTTCCATAACCGCTCCTGCCTCAACCGAGTGCAATGTGCGTCGCAAAGCAGCAATGTTGTTATTCCATAACGCCTAATCAGCTGTCTGATGTCTTCCCCTTCTCCTATACTCTCCCAAAACACCAGCTACCGACGACGATCAATACCCGTATATAGCATGGTAGCGCGACAAGCAACGACCGCGCCATCGCGATCTCTCGGCGCCTACCAGCGTCCGCAGGCACAGCGTCCACCGCCGTCCCCATGGTTAGGGATGTATATCAATTTAGCGTCTGACAGCACCCACCAACGTTACCAGGTCCGGAAGTAGAGAGTATGGCGTGATAGGAGGGTAGCAGCAGCTGGTACCCTTCTATCGCACCATACTCTCTACCAGCAGTCTGCTGCTGCTCGCTGGTGGACGCTGGCAGACGCTCGATTGATAACCATAATTTTCTAGTCGCTGAGGTTGCCGGACGCTCGGACGCTGGTGGTCGCTGATGGACGCTGCCGCAAAGTACGAACGCGGCCTTACTTCTTTCCAGCGTTCTCGGCATTCCTCTCTTTGAATGCTTGTTACTTCAGCTTTCTTCTGCAGAAAAACGTAGTATTTACAATATATTTATGCTACATCTATTCTTAGCATGTTCTGACTACATGAATAAGCCACCAGTTACTTCCAGAGTTGCTCCAGTCATATATTTTGACATATCAGATGCGAGAAACAGTGTGGCATCTGCAATGTCTTCTGGTTCTCCCATACGTCCCATCGGTATTCCTTCACAAATCGATGCCAGAACCTGAACAAACAGTTGTAACAGTTCTTCACAAATCGATGCCAGAACCTGAACAAACAGTTGAAACAAATTCTTTGAGGTCAAACCAGCAGAATCTAACAGTCTATGTTAGCTATTAGGTGCTGTCGACAGGCAAGAAAAAGGTAAACAAGGTCTTTGGGGGCAATTCAACGACTTAGGCTACCTTCATACTTTGGGTCGTCAGCGTCTACCAGAGTCCACCAGCGACCACCAGCGTTCGGAGCGTCCGACAGCGTCAGTGATTAGGAAAGTAGGTATCGATCTAGCGTCCGCCAACGTCTCCAGCGTCTATTAGCGTCTGCTAGCGTCTCGAGGGCTAGGGAAGTACGGGTATCGTTCTAGCGTTTGCCAGCGTCTACCAGCGTCCACCAGCGACCGGGAGTAGAGAGTTATGGGGGAGTGCGGCGGGTATCGCCGTGCCGCACAACTGCTAAAGCAAAGCATTATCCAGTTTAATGTAGGGTGTAGTGTAGTTGTACGGTGCGGTTGCACACGCCGCAATTTCACGACGCCTAATCCAGCTGTTTGCTACCCTCCCACTTCCCCATACTCTCTACTCCCGGTCGCTGGTGAACGCTGGTAGACGCTGGCAGACGCTAGCGTCACTAGATCGATATTTATACATTACTAGTCGCATGACGCGGCCGGACGCTCGGAACGCTAGTGGTGGACGCTGGTGGAGGCAGCCGCAACGTATGAACGCAGCCTAAGCGGTTACAAAGCATCTATGAACCAGAAGCCCGGAAAGTATGAAAAAAAAAAGGAAGGAGAAAACAGCGTTCGCAGTTGGCGGATGTCCTGAGAATAGGTAGCCCTCTACGCACTCGCGCGGGCTGTAGCACTTTTGCGACCTGAAAGCGAATGAAGGGAAGTAGACCGTTCTCGTCACTCGCTCGGGAGTTCCAGCGTTCGCCGAAGTGACTCCAACCATGGCTCGATCGGCTGCTAATCGTCTACCGCCTCTCAATAAGATAGTGGTCG